TATTAATAAAAAAAAAATTGTACTATGTTTGTGTTGTATAAAGAGTTGTTCATATTTATACAGTCGTGCGAATTTATACAGTCGCTCGGATAGCTTACATGGGTTCGAATAATTGATAGGCCTTCAAATTATTATTAATATTAGTTCTTATTTATGATAATAATGAAAATTAGTTAAAAATTGATAGGCGATCTAAACTTCAGGGACCATTTATATAAAATTAGTTAATAATAGTATCATATATTTTTCATAATTGTATCACACCTTTCATAATCAAATAGCAATGCGAATTATTCAGTAAATGAAACGTTATAGGAGAAAATTATAGGGGGAAACTTTAGAGTGTTCGACTGGATGAAAAACTTTATTACTCGATTGGATGTTTATTTCCGCATAATACGTATAATACACCATACATTTTTAATACTCAAACTCTTATTGTATCCGATGATTAATAAAAACAAATTTGCTTTATTATTATTATTTGTTTTATTGTTATTTATAATAATAATACTAATAATAATATTAAAAATAATAATAATAATACTAATAATAATAATAATAATAATAATAATAATAATAATAATAATAATAATAATAATAATAAGTCAAATAAATTATATAATATTAATAAAAAACAAGACGATAAAAAACAAAATAGATTAAAAACATATATATATATATATATATTATATATATATATATAATATATATATATATAATATATATATATATATATATATATATATATATATTATATTAGTGGTGTACCGTTGCGGCGGCGCGAGCGTTTTGTTATGGATAATAGTTCCCGGATGTCAATTAGATTACCTTTCGGTGGATTGAGATTGTGGTAGACGATGAATAATTTATTTTTACAATTTGTTTTAGGTAGATATGGAGATGGTATGGCTAAACATTATTGAAAATATGTTTATGATGTGGTTAAAAAGAAATGACAAAATGTCTTTGATTTTTCTTTCGAAGGTGGATAATAATTTCACTATATAAAATATGCTATATATTGCAATGAACACGAAATGCATAAACTAATATCATTTACTTTCGATGACTAAGGTTTGTTCTTTTTTTCTTATTCATTTTTGAATGTAAAAAATGCCTTAACCAGTAATGAAATGTGTATAGATAAAGTTTTTATAGATTAAATATGTTTATGTTTAAGTCGTCTAAATATAGACAAAAGACCAACTATTAGATCGGTTACCATCAAATCATACAAATAATAAGAAACAAACTATTTCAATTAAAACCTTAGGATTTTGTATTATTTCATATCTTAAAGCATGAAAACCTTTTTCAACCAAACAAGTTTCAGCTTCAGACATGCTGGATTCACCTCAACTTATCTATAATTGCAGATTTCAACGTTGGTAGTGATAGATTACTCCTAATTTTCACATGTACTTTAATTGCAGATTTCAATTTTTGGAACGGGGTTGGTAGTTAAATAGTTTCGTGCTCATGTTTTTGTTATTTATGTTTAGAGGTCTTGTGACTGCTCCTGTTAACAATCCTCCTTATGTGAGCATTTGTTATTATTGGAAAAACTATCATTGGTATTTTAAACGTCTATGTTAATTAAATATAGCTATTATGGTGGATACTTGGCTAATGGTTAGAAACATACATTTAATAAATTTTAATGCAAAAATAAGATATTCTTAGATAATATGTTCGAATATGATAAAAGATTAAATTGTGTTAAATTGAAATCACCTTATAATTACACATTTTAATCAACTTCAAAATAATATATGTCCCGACTTCAATTTTCAAACTCTTGAAAAAGGGTGTCTCACAATACCGATAGCCAACGACCTAATGATGATAGTTAAATATGTAATCTTTTGACATGTTGAATCAGTTTAACATTTTTTAACGCATCTTCATCTTTCGTTCATAGCATTGTTGTGTCCTTGGTCACTATAGTTTTTAGTTTTCAAGTACATGTGGGTTTTAATCTTTAACTTTTGCATACTACAGTATACAGTGTTGTAAAACTATATAGTTATAGTTTTTTATTTAATCTTTTTTGATTATTCTTTAAATAAGTTGAAAAAATATAAAGGATACATGATGAAAGGATATATCTCATTTGAAATACATTTTTTTTGAATTTATGTATAACAATTTTGTCTCATTTGCCAAAAAATTATACAACATTGTTAAAGCCTATCATGAAGCTGCAATTTTATACAATTTTACATATTTGGTCACTCGTTAGAAAAAGACAAATAAAACAAACTAATTAAAAAGTATTCATTTATATTTAATTAGGTAATTATGTTAAAATATTAATAACAAAGATAAAATTTAACAATCTTTTAAATTAGAAACTTCATGATCATATAAAATAAAATAAGGATAGACAGGCATAATATAGATACTACCAAAAGCTAAAGCCTAACATGAAGCTGCATACACTACAAAAACAATTATGTCATTTTAGATTTCTAAGCAAACTGAAAAGCAATTGGTGTTGTTTGATACCAACGTAGCTAGTTAAAAGAAAGAGATCAAAACTTTTTATTTAATTTCTTAATTATTAGCATTCAGCAGCAACAATGAGCTCGTGTATGAGACTAAATGATGTCCTCTTTCCTGATTATTAGCATTCAGCAGCAACAATACATAGTTCAAATAGACTTGCCTGGGTTGCATCCTCCTCTTCCTTGTTTTTGAAGGTGCTTGATGTAGGGATTAAAATTTAAATGAAAATAAAATGCCGAAATTGGTTTGTATTCCCAAATTCCATTGTTTATTAACAAAAGTAAGCTACTATGAAAATGTTATAAAGAATCCAATTCAAGAACTGATGAAATTTGAAAGGGTCCATTGCAGAGCATATTCCAGTAGAATAAACTATTAAAAATAATGGATCTACTTTATTGACAATGAATTTCAAATACAAGTTAAAAAGAGAGGTAAGGAGATTTTGTAAAATAAAAACATTTGAATAATAACCCCAGTATGTTTTATGAAAAACATTCTTCATGAGTTGAAATTCAAAACAACAAAATTGTTTAAAATAGAGAAATGTTCTAAAACACACAAGTTTCAACCACATATGCAAGAAAAGGATGAAACCAGAGATTAACATTCTACATTGGCTGTTAATAACATTGCCCTTACTATTGTAGGCCACAATAACTTTTTCAAGACCTTTTTCTTGTGTTTAGCTAGTTGAAAACATAACAATGAAGCTATCAGTAGGTAGACCTTTAAAATAAACCCTATAATATATAACCAACGGAAATCAAAAGCATATTATTTTCATAAAAATACATAAACCCTATATAAAAATGACCGACCATCTTTACGTTAATTTCTATAATCGATCTCATACGAACGAAATCATAAATTATAATAGGATGTGCAGAATTATCAACAATTTTGCATATCATTTTTAGAAACGAAAAAAAAACACAACAAATCGGTTTTGCAGAAAGACAAGGAGTAAATCAGAAAATCAGAAAATGAAATCGATTGTGCAAAATTCATTTTCTATCATCGATCTCAAAAGGACGAAATCAGAAAAATCAATAACAGAAAATAAAGTCAACTTTGCAGAAAATGGATTCAAAAATAAACCTAGAGCGGACATCTTTGGCTGTAGGAAGAACGAAGTCAGAAAATGGGAAGCGCTGGAACAGGGTAGAGGCTAGAGACGCATGACAGACTTATAAAAACTGTCAGTAAGCAAAAACTCAATGAGAACCCTTTGTATCTATATAAAAAAGAAGGAGTTTTCATGACGCAAACCACATAAACTATAATTAGGAAACATAAATCCCTAAATATTGACATAAACTATTGTAGTAAGTTCATTAGGGCTCGCTTCCAAGATCTTACAGAAACAGGAATCAAAATTGCATTAAAAAAAGATTAATCCGAACTGGGGAAAATCAAATATGCATAGCAAATAGGGAGAGGGTTTGTCTATAGAACGGAGGAGAGATGGGAGCGTGTGTGTTGGAATGTGGGATTAGGGTTTTCACTTAAAAGGAAGGGAGGGGAACCAAGGGTCAGGCCGTCCCTGTTTGGTGGGCGGGAAGGATCTAATCCATTTGAAAATAGGTACCGTGACATATTTGTGTTGAAAGTGTTTATGGTTTATAAGCTCTAATGGCTTATACTATAAACTTAATTCATAATACTTGAATCTTATTGGTTTAAAGCTATTCACTTGGATGATCATTTATTCAATCTTACCCATTCAAATCAAATCTAATGTCCAAAAATCAATCTCCTTGTTTTTTAAGACTTTGATCTTAAAATTTAAGGGTCCCACTATTATATATGTATTATATATATATATATATATATATATATATATATATATATATATATATATAAAATACAATTAATAATGAGATGGTGTATACAGTACCTTCTTTTTTTATCGTAATGTGTCGTTTCATTGACTCTTTGATTATGATACCTGACAATTATTAGAGATAGTTTGACATATAAAATATGATTAATGTTATAATAGGGTAACGATGTATTCAAATTGTTTTAAAAATATCATTAAACTAAAAAAAATGTTGTCAAAATGTAGCAAAAATTAACTTTTGTTTTTAAAATATCATTATGACCTACGATAACACTTTCTCTCGGTCATAATGATATTTTAAAAACAAAACTTATAGTTTGTTACCTATAATGTCTTTTTAGTTCAATGATATTTTTAAAACACTTTGTATATGCGTGTTCGACACAGAACATTTGAGAGTTTCGAGCTTCTAGCGTTTGACAATACGTTTTGTTTTGAATAGAAAGTCTCGTTCGACACTACAAACTTCTAGCGTTTAGTTTAAATAAAACGCTCCAAATCTAAATGTTATTTCATGTAGCGTTTAACAAATCGTTACAAGCTACAAGCTACTCGCTATCAACTAATTTTACCGAACAGGTCCATGATATTTTGGAAGTTAATATTTTCATTTCATATTTATCTTTTTTTTATCCATATTTATGTTTATTATTTTAGCTTTGTACATATAAATAGCAGAGGCTATTTTCCCTGTCAATGGCACTTTCGGCTATAGCAGCCGCCGTTACCACCACCAGTCGCCGCCCAATTCTATCACCATCATTATCAAGCAGCCTCACTACCACCCTTTCTCTACTCTTCATCAGAAAACACTCTCCTCATCACTCTCGGAAGCTGATAACTACAATGGCGGCTTCTTCAACGCTTACACCGGAGCAAAAAATCACCGCACCATACGGTTCATGGTCCTCTCCCATCACCTCAGACGTCGTATCAGGAGCCTCCAAGGGTCTGGGAGGCACAGCCGTCGACTCTCACGGCCGATTGTTCTGGCTTGAATCACGTCCTTCGGAATCAGGGTAAGTGTATAGCTTTATCAGTTAATTAATCGTTGACTTCTTCTCCGAAGCCCTAACTGTTATATTATTGTTCATACTTTCAGACGATTGGTTATAGTTAAAGGGGGAAATGACGAAAATGAAGAAACCATTGATGTAACACCCAAGGAGTTCTCAGTGCGTACAGTTGCTCAAGAATATGGTGGAGGTGCTTTCTCAATTTCAGGAGGCACTGTAGTTTTCTCCAATTACAAAGATCAGACACTTTACAAACAGTCACTAGATTCAAAGGGTTTGAACTTATCATAATCATATCAGATGGATTAACTTATAACCATATATCTAAGCTCTTCTTTTATACCTGTAGATTCTGCACCCGTGCCACTTACCCCTGATTATGGTGGACCTCTAGTGAGCTATGCAGATGGAGTTTATGACACATCACTTAATCGATACATCACTGTTAGGGAAGGTACATTGTTGACTTTTTACATACTTTTCTTTAACAATTTATCTTTAATCACTAATTTTTGTCATATGGCTTCTTGTTAGATCGACGTGGAAGTAGCTTGGATGCAATCACAAGCATTGTATCAATAGAACTCGGTGATAATGGTGTTAAAGGTACTGTTACTCATTTAATTTTTCTCTCAATTCAGACATGATGATAACTGATAATAATGATCTTTTGATTGTTTCATATGGTGATATGTAGAACCAAAAGTGTTAGTCAGTGGAAATGATTTCTATGCATTCCCTAGACTTGACCCTGAAGGAAAAAGATTGGCATGGATTGAATGGAGCCACCCTAACATGCCATGGGATAGATCTGAACTATGGGTTGGCTATATTTCAGATACTGGGTAAACACTAAACACACTGCTTATTTTATTTATTTGTTTCATGCCAATATTTTAAATAACCAGAAAGTAAAAAAGATTTAACATTCTTTTGTGGATGTGGTTATTTGAAATCATGCATTTAATTGATTTTCCATCCTCTTTTCTTGTAGAATAAAACATTTAACAATTATCTTGACAAATTGGTATGTCTGTATGTATACCTTTACAATACTGCAAATTTTGTTACTTTGTGCAGAGATGTGTACAAACGAGTATGTGTTGCAGGGGGCGATTCTGCCATTATTGAATCTCCAACTGAACCAAAATGGTCTGATGAAGGTAAATAATTACACCTTTTATAATTTTAATTTTATAAATGTTCACACTAATTCAATTGCATTATGTATCTTTTTTTACTGCAGGAGAATTATTCTTTGTGACAGATAGAAAAACTGGTTTCTGGAATCTTCACAGATGGGTAATTTCAGAAATTTTTTATATTTTTATTTAATGAAACGTTTTTTATCATCCGTTTTCTGTAATTTATGTTACAATGTAACAGGTTGAATCTGATAACACAGTGGCACCAGTGTATTCACTAGAAGCTGAGTTTGCAAGACCATTATGGGTTTTTGGCATGAACTCTTATGAAATTCTCAAGGAACATAAAAACTTAATTGCTTGTAGTTACAGGTAATTATTTAAGTAATTTATTACTTAAACTTTTGCATCACCTCATTTTGTTATATTCATTCCATTTCATGAGTTTAAATATTCAGGCAAAGAGGAAGATCATATCTTGGAGTTGTGGACAAAACTAAGAACACATTATCCATTCTCCAGATTCCTTTCACAGATTTGATGAATATTGTAATCTCAAGTTCTCAATACACTTTGTATTTTCTAGTTATCTATTTCTTCTTTTTATGTTTTTATTAATTAAAAAACATTTTATGTAGACCTCAGGTGTACGTTGCCTGTATGTTGAAGGTGCATCTGGAGTTCATCCTTTATCAATAGCTAAGGTGACTTTAGATGACGTGGCATCAAATGTGGTTGACTTCAAGATTGTTTGGTCTTCTTCACCTACTAGTTCACAATACAAATCTTACTTCAGCTCCCCAGAATTTATTGAATTTCCAACAGAAGTCCCTGGAGAAAATGCATATGCATACTATTACCCCCCAACAAATCCTAATTATCAATCCAGTCAAGAAGAAAAACCTCCATTGCTATTAAAAAGCCATGGTAATCATTTTAATAGACACAGAAAAATCAAATCTGCAATTTTTATATTTTAAATTTTTTTTATCAATTTTTATATTTTAAATTTTTTTTATGGATAATAAAAACAGGGGGGACCCACAGCTGAGACACGTGGCATCTTGAATCTTCAAGTCCAATTTTGGACTAGTCGTGGTTGGGCTTTTGTGGATGTGAATTACGGTGGAAGTACTGGTATGTAAATATAAACCAAGGGTAAAATCGTCTTTTTTGTAAAAGTCAAATCTGTAATTATAGACATACCCATCTTGAATAATAGGTTAAGGGACCAAATCTGTAATTATAGACATACTATAGGGACGATTTCTGTAATTTACTATATTTGAAATTCTTCTACATTATGTTTTGAAGGGTATGGTCGGGAATTTCGTGAAAGGCTTTTGAAACGATGGGGTATAGTGGATGTCAACGATTGTTGCAGCTGTGCTCAGTTCTTGGTATTTTACATTTTTACCCCTCATACAGTTTCAAGATAATTAATTATTGTGATACATTTTAATTGTTTTTTTTTTAATTACAGGTGGATAGTGGAAAAGCAGATGCTGGAAGACTATGCATCACTGGAGGCTCTGCTGGTGGTTACACAACTCTAGCTGCACTTGCATTCAAGAAAACATTCAAAGCTGGTGCTTCTTTATATGGTGTAAGTGGTCAACCTTTGACCAAATACATATTTTATAATTTTATTGAAAGTGTTCAACTCTTGAGTTATATATATATATATATATATATATATATATATATATATATATATATATAAAATATGTGAACAGGTAGCTGATTTGAAGTTGTTGAAAGAAGAAACTCACAAATTTGAGTCGCGATACATGGATAATCTTGTTGGTAAACTAAATATTATTTATTTTTTTTATTAAACTTGAGTAAATAAATAAATTATCTAGTGTCAGTTAATTAAATGTTTAATTTGCAACAGGGGGTGAAAAAGAGTTCTTTGAGAGGTCACCTATCAATTTTGTGGATCAATTTTCTTGCCCTATAATTCTGTTTCAGGGATTAGAAGACAAGGTTTGTGTTTTTAAATGAATAAATAAATTATATTGAAATGATTATTTTTTTTTAATAAATTGTTGGGCAGGTTGTGCCACCTGATCAAGCAAGAAAAATATATAAAGCTTTGAAAGCAAAAGGGTTGCCTGTTGCTTTAGTGGAATATGAAGGGGAGCAACATGGTTTTCGTAAGGTTGGAGATAAATAATGTTGTTTTTAATGAATTATTGGTTTTATTACGTGAAAAGAAATTTTATTGGTTTGATTTGTGATATGTGATATGTGATAATGTGATATGCAGGCTGAAAATATCAAATTTACACTAGAACAACAAATGGTGTTTTTTGCACGTTTGGTGGGAGGATTTAAGGTGGCTGATGAAATTGTTCCCATCAAAATTGATAACTTTGACTAAAGGTTTGTTTTTCATTTCATTCTGTGTATAAAATATATGCAACATTTGATTTGAGAAATGGTTAAATGCAATTAGTTATTTTGAGTATTGGTGAGATCTTACTACAAAATTGGAAAATCTTATGAACAAAAAATAATATACTCTCAATATGTTCTTTTGCTTACACTTTTCAGACTTCATCACTTCAGTTCTCAAGACTCATGTCAACCATGGCGCACAGAAAATCCTCCATGTCATCAACTTTATTTTAGAGGATTTTCAGAGTGTTTAAATGTAAAATTCTGAGTTATGGGGCTGAGTGTCCACCTTTTATTGTGCTTCTGTTTGATTTCAATGTCAGAGGTTGCTGTAGCCTGTAAGTTACAATCATACAGATTATGCATTGTATATAAATAAGCTGGACTTTTTTTTTTCCTAAATATTTCAGTAAATCTGATATGTAGGCCAAGTTTTTAGCTTTTATAACATCTGCCAAATGGTCTTGGATTTAGTTTATATCTTGTACTTTTAGACTCATCTTTTTTTTTAATCCGTTCTAAAAAAACGGGTATTCAATCCTAGATGGCATCAAATCAAATATGGAAATGTGTAGGTACTGTGTCCACGTGACACTCGATTGAAAAAAAAAATCTGTTTAAATTATATGCACACAGCATGATTAGGCATTATTTTGTTCTGTTAATTTTATTTATCAACACCACAAATATGTTGAAAATTTGCAAAATAGAATGTCATATGTGACGCAGAGCATGATTAGATACTATTTTATCCGGTTGAATTACATTCCATTGGCTTCATAAAAGTACAAAAATTATTTTGTTCTGTTGAATAGAATAATTAAAATAAGTGACTTAAGAGCAAATTGATAGTTATTAAAATAAGATATTCCTGTTGAATAGAATAATTAATACATGAAGGAAGGGATGAATGATGAATCTTAAAATGTTGATTTTGAAAGTATCAACTATAAACTGAAACAAATCAGTTTCAAGTATTTAGCATTCTGCATTCCCTATTAACAATGTATTAAAGTAGATGTAGTTGGGTTTTAAGCTCATTACGCGGACCTTTAAACCAGATTCCCCGTACCGTGAGTGGTTAAAAAGATATTATAACGACACTTATATAACTCATAATAATAGCCCAAATATTTATTATAAGGTCCTAATAACATTCATATATTGAAACATAAGTTATACTAAAGATAGGGTAGACGTAGCTTACTTACAGCGGGTTTTTCTCAAAATCGAGTTTCGCAGGAGCAGCGTTCCCGAGCCAAAAGGCTCTTTTCTCGGGGCTTCGGGAGCCTCGGGGCTTCCTTCGGGTGCTAGGGGGTTTACCTAGACTTTAGGGGGGGTTTGGGGCTTTAGAGAGAGAAAGTAGAGAGAGAAGAGTTTGGATGGTGTGAAGAATGAGGGAACCCGACACCTCTATTTATAGGCTGAATTCCTGATCGAATCGCCGAGTCCATGCCACATGTCAGCTTTCTGGTGGCCAAACGTGTGTGGCCTGTATTGTGCCACGTCACCCCTTTTGCAGCAGCACCCTGCCGACTTCTAAACCCCGTAACTTTCGCATACGAGCTCCATTTTCGACGTTCTTTTTTTACACGCGTAGGTAAAAACAAGATCTACAACTTTCATTTAGACTCCGTCGGCTAATTCTCGACCGATCCTAAATTTAACAGTAGGAGGACATTAGATTGTTAAATGACCGCGAAGAATTCGTAACTCCTTCATACGGACTCCGTTTTCGTCTGTCTTTTTACCATTGAGTTCCTATTAATGAGATCTTCAACTCTCATTTAGGTCGCATAATCCAAAAACCGCTCGAACTAAAATTCAAGTTTCGGGTCGTGCACTATTAAGCCAAATCTTAGAAAATTCATAACTTCCTCATACGAAGTCAGATTTGGGTGTTCTTTTTTTGTATGTTCTTGTTTTAACGTATACTACAACTTTTGTTTAGATTACTAAGTCTAAAAGTCGTTCTATCGTAAATTCACTATTTACGCTTCCCGTTGTCGTGCCGGTTTTGCCGTAAAACTTCGACGGGCCATAACTTCTTCGTTATAACTTGGATTTCGGCGTTCTTTATATGTACGGAACCCTTGAGACATATTCTACAACTTGGTTAAAATTATTTATTCTAAATAATCTTTTGTCGAATAGTCGTTTTCGACCCCCTATTATCTCTAAATTGACTAGTCCGGATCTACGGGCGTTACATATAAATGGATATCGGTAGCTATGGACTTAGTGCCTAACAAATAACACCAACCGTTATGGACTTAGTGTCTGTTGGATGAACCCTGACAGCGATGGGCTTCGTGCCTATTCCTCAGGACAATCCTCAGGAATGAATGAATTATGAATAGACGATTTTCAGGGTAGATCCTTAAGAATAAAGAAGATAATGGGGATGAGAAGTTGGGTTAATTGTTTGACGATTAAACATAATAATTATATTATTGTGGGTTGAAAACCCTATGTACTCACCAGGTTTCCCAACGTGACCCACTTAGTTTATTTGTATCACAGGTGTCGATACGAAGCTACATTACACTGAGAGATTAAATGAGATGTAAATCACTAGTGTAAATGAATGCAAGGTCTGTTTATGTTTATGTTTCTGTAATGACGATGACATCCCAAAGTTTTAATATAAACAAAATACATTTCTTCGGAAAATGCTTTGATAATGTATTTATCATGTTTTCTGGGAACAAATTCCGCAATATTATTCTTTAAAAATGAATACTCTGATTTTCAAATAAGCATAAATAAATTTTTTAAAATGACCGTGAATTTGGGGATGTCACACTTAAGGTCCTTAAATAGGGTACAACACACTTAAATTAGGGTTTCCTTCGATCCTCGTACACCCAACGTACTCCTCATACGTCCAGTGTACGAGGCCTCGGCCTCGCGAACATTTGCTCCTGGTACGCTAAGTGTACACCATTGTACGCTCGCGCACTTCACTTCACACTAGTACTCCCCGCGTACTCCCTATGTATGCCAGACGTACTAGGGTTACCCTTAAACCCTAAAATACTCTGAAGGCCATAACTTCTTCATTATACATCCGATTTCGACGATCCTTATATCCACGAAAAGGTAACGAGAAGCTCTACACTTTTATCAACTCACACGCGCCTTAAGATTTCCCGAACAAAAAACCAATTTCCATAAAAGCCCGAGCGGACACTTTACCAAAATACCCCGTGGCTCCAAAACACAAACCGAGCACCCGGATCATCTACATTACGTCACCCACACCCAAACGGAAAAACGATTCGGGACAGGACGTTACACCTTTAATATCAATCACATCAAAAAGGTTTATTTTTATTTTTATTTTTTCCTTTCTGGTGTCTTACTTTTATAATTTATTATCATTATATAATTATTATTAATAAAAAAAAATTGTACTATGTTTGTGTTGTATAAAGAGTTGTTCATATTTATACAGTCGTGCGAATTTATACAGTCGCTCGGATAGCTTACATGGGTTCGAATAATTGATAGGCCTTCAAATTATTATTAATATTAGTTCTTATTTATGATAATAATGAAAATTAGTTAAAAATTGATAGGCGATCTAAACTTCAGGGATCATTTATGTAAAATTAGTTAATAAGTAAGTATCGTATATTTTTCATAATTGTATCACACCTTTCATAATCAAATAGCAATGCGAATTATTCAGTAAATGAAACGTTATAGGAGAAAATTATAGGGGAAAACTTTAGAGTGTTCGACTGGATGAAAAACTTTATATGGTACTCGATTGGATGTTTATTTTCCGCATAATACGTATAATACACCATACATTTTTAATACTCAAACTCTTATTGTATCCGATGATTAATAAAAACAAATTTGCTTTATTATTATTATTTGTTTTATTGTTATTTATAATATTTTTATAATAATAATACTAATAATAATATTAAAAATAATAATAATAATAATACTAATAATAATAATAATAATAATAATAATAATAATAATTATAAGTCAAATAAATTATATAATATTAATAAAAAACAAGACGATAAAAAACAAAATAGATTAAAAACACACACACACATATATATATATATATATATATATATATATATATATATATATATATATATATATATATATATATATATATATATATATATATATTAGTGGTGTATCCGCGCGTTGCGGCGGCCGCGAATAGTTTTGTTATGGATAATAGTTCCCGGATGTCAATTAGATTACCTTTCGGTGGATTGAGATTGTGGTAGGCGATGAATAATTTATTTTTACAATTTGTTTTAGGTAGATATGGAGATGGTATGGCTAAACATTATTGAAAATATGTTTATGATGTGGTTAAAAAGAAATGACAAAATGTCTTTGATTTTTCTTTCGAAGGTGGATAATAATTTCACTATATAAAATATGCTATATATTGCAATGAACACGAAATGCATAAACTAATATCATTTACTTTCGATGACTAAGGTTTTTTCTTTTTTTCTTATTCATTTTTTAATGTAAAAAATGCCTTAACCAGTAATGAAATGTGTATAGATAAAGTTTTTATAGATTAAATATGTTTATGTTTAAGTCGTCTAAATATAGACAAAAGACCAACTATTAGATCGGTTACCATCAAATCATACAAATAATAAGAAACAAACTATTTCAATTAAAACCTTAGGATTTTGTATTATTTCATATCTTAAAGCATGAAAACCTTTTTCATTCATGAAAATAAACCAATATGGGAGAACATCATAGAATGGTCATATTTTGAACAAATATCACAAAATATTGTAATTTCGCAAAATGAATTTGTGAAATACCGATTGCCCCCACAACCATCCACACTACCTATTTTCTATTTTTGATTGGTCGTATTCCTCCATTCCACTAAAAAATGGGAACAAACACCCACACATACACGTTCTAGAAACTAGAATATTAGTATTCCTATAGTTATAATCATTCATATCCAAGATTATACACTAATGAAAAAATTAAATTAAATCCTGGAATATGATTATCGGGCTATTATATTAAACATGTTTTGAGTGGATTAGAAAAACTGCCCGAACCCGATCCAATTAATCCAAAGCCCAATAAAACCCGTCCAAACAACACCAAAACAAAAGAGAGGCGTTTTTTGAAAGAATCCCATTATCATTATCATTAATGACATAACAACTCGTTCTTATAACACAAAACAAAGAGAATCGAAACTACGTGTATCATCACTAATTTACTCACACAAAAATATATGATTAGCTAGAAAGTAATATTGACATCAAAACGAAAAAGAAACCTTAATCAAGAACAAGAAGTTGATCAAAGCTCGAACTCCTCCCTTAGAGCCACCTCTGCTGCAGCCTCCTCCTCGTCTTCAATAAGAAAGTACTGGTTTGATGCAATTGGCCTGAACATGTAAAACATAACTATATAGAACCCAAGGCTCGCTAATTCTTCAGCCCCATTAGCCACCCATTGGTAGTTATAATCTGCGATTGTCTTCAGAGCAAAAACAATGATTCTTGTGAAATACAAGTACCCAATAACCAGAACATAGAACTGTCTGAAAAGGGTTAACTTTGCAAGAGTCCTAGCAGCCTTCCCATCTGTTTTAGAGGTCTCCCTCAATGATCTGATTGACCAGACTATGGGGAAGATAATGGCGCAACAACAGATCACATCAACCAACAAGAACACCTGATTCCAAGTTACCCAATCTCTGATAAAGGGCCCTGTTTCCCCTATTACTATGGATGCTACATTGGCTAAAACCTGGAGTGGGATCACAATCATCAAGATCTTCTTCTCTTTCTCTTGCAGAAATGGTTTCAGAAACGACCATCCAGTGCCGATTAATACGATTACAGTGAACAATAGCACAACCCTAATGGCTTGAAATATGTAGAACAACACATCCCATCCATGAGGAGTCCCTGTGACTTTTACAAAATGTTTATCCTCTGCCGCACAGATCAAATTGAGGGCTTTCATGAGAAGCAAAACGCACATTAGCAGGTGAATCCGGTGAACAGATACCTTGTTTTTTACGCATTCAATGATCCAAAACCCTAGGAATGCCATGTATGAGAGGGAGAAAATGGTGTATAGAAACGGAAGTTGAGTTAATCCGGCGGATAAGTAATCCCTTTTGTCGCCGTCGGTGTTGTATAGCTCGGTACGGACGTCCATTGAGACGATCAATTCAGGATTGCAATTGGCGAAGAAGAGGGAGTATTCATTCGGGTAGTTGACAGGGTACGATTTGTTGAAGGAGGGATGAGGCGGAGGGGAGAGATCGCGGAATGTGAAGAGGAGCGAAATGAATTTGGAATCAACAACGCAGAAATTAGGGTTTTGTTGGAATTCGATGAGGACTTGAATCAAGGATTCTTCGGTGAGGAGGAAGAAACCGAGGCGGGAGGAATCGATTTGGGAGATGCTGGAGGTGACGGAGACAGAAGAAATCTCAACGGAGGCAACGCCATGGCGTGTGAATCCGAACTTCTCGAAGAGGATCATTGGACGGTCGTCTGATCGTATCTTTAACGATTTGATCTCCGCGTTGGACGTAGAGGTGAAAATAAAGAGCAAAATGAGGATAACGGCGAACGTTGTCGGTAAGTTCGTCATTTTGAGAATTACGGTGGTGGTGGACGGCGGTGGAAGGTGGTGGCTAAAGAAGGAAATAGGTTGCTTTGAGATTTATGGTACGGAGATTTTTATGCCAAAAAATACAGGCGGGGAAGCCATGCAGAAGATGAACCGTGTATTACGATATTTATCTTTTTTATTATAATATATATTGACAAAAGTACATGATCGGTCCTTGTGCTTTGCAAACTAGTTAGTTGAGTACAAATCCGTACGTGTTTGTCTATGTGGCTTTCCAGTAGTTTGTGTGCTTGCTCATTTTGTCTAACTCCTTTAGACTCAAGAGACTAGTTGCGGTTCTACCGTAGTTTTGTCACGGTGTCAAAAAGAAACACTCACTCCAGTGTGCGGTTTGGCCACTCTCTCTCTCTCTCTCTCTCTCTCTCTCTCTCTCTCTCTCTCTCTCTCTCTCTCTCTCTCTCTCTCTCTCTCTCTCTCTCTCTCTCTCTCTCTCTCTCTCTCTCTTAGTGTGTGAAAAACAACCACACTTTTTGTGGTAAAACCTCACAACCTTTATTTTTCCAAACCTAAATCCAATTCTTATGTCTTTCTATTTCTATTTTCTCAAAATCACTAGAAAATATTGTCATTTTCGTCTTCTGAAGAATTTCAATTTATATTTGATGTTGTCGGTATTGCTCAAATAGCGGTGCAATTGTATAACACTTTATCCAATAACGAAGCCGAAAGTTCGCAATGGAGAACACGAATATATTTAGAGAAACCGTGAAGATGCATATCAACGCTTGATACAACACTACTTTGATGAGAATGCCACTTTTCAAGGGTGCTACTTCAAAGACGCTTTAGAATGTTCAAACCAGTATATGAACGTATAGTCGAAGATTTAACGAGGGAGTGTAGTTTTTCCAACAACATCCCGAAGTTAGAGGTACACCCGGTTTCACCCCCTTACAAAAATACACAACTGCACTTCGTCAATTAGTATATGACATTCCGTCTGATGCATTGAACAAAAGTTTTAGAATGTCCGCTAGGACCGCACGAGAGAGTCTCAACTTTTTTTTTTTTTTTTTTTTTTTTTTTTTTTTTTTTTTGCAAACATGTGATTGAGATTTTTGGTCCAAATATTTACATAACTCTACATGCAATAACATCTTACAATTGCAAGCTCATCATGCTAGCGTACATGACTTTCCTAGAATGATAGGAAGTTTAGATTGTCTCCATTGAACATAAGAATATTGCCCTATCTCACATCATGGTCAATTTACCCCAAGGTGATTATTGTCACCCAACAACGGTCATATTTGAAGAGGTGGCGTCATAAGATTTGTTAATTTGGCATGCGTTTTTTTTGTTCTCCTAACGTTCTTAATCGTTCACCTATATTTAACAACATATAGATCTGCACCAGATTCTTCTTTTCAAGTGCATGGAACGCTATATATGTATGGTTATTATCTTGTTGATGGGATCTATCTTGAGTAGGGGTGTCGAACGGGTAAAATTTTCGGGTTTCGGGTAGAACGGGTATTTCCTTAAGAAAATAATACCCGATACCCGACCTATATTGTAATTCGGGTATTCGGGTTTGAGGTCGGGTCGGGTAATTATCGGGTATACCCGAAAATTTCTTAAATGACACTTATTGATAATTTATTTATTTATTTATTTTTACATATTGGTTGGTTTAATAAAGAATCGGGTAGGAAAATACTCTATACAATTAACAAGTACATATATAATAACAATACAAATCATTATAATATGTTATGTACTTTTCTAATTCCATTCCGTGCGATAGTGAGAAACTGAGAATTGTGATGACGGTTCAGGACTTCAACTTCAGCGTCGTATTCCCTTTGCAAGTTTGCGTCGACTGTCGAGCCGTCGTTCATAAGAAGGAAACGGAGGGTTTTGTTTTATTTGAAGTGTGCGTACATGACTGCATTGTATATTTGGTATTATTTAAAAAACGAATTCGGGTATTCTGGTATACCCAAAAATAAATATTCATACCTAAAACCCGACCTATATTATTATCGGGTTAACCTATTACCCGAATGTTCATACCCGTTACCCGTTCTACCCGAATTCGGAACGGGTCGGGTGGGTAGAACGGATTTCGGGTTTTTTCGACAGGCCTAATCTTGAGTATGTTGTGTTTTTTGAATCATTTCTGTGCCCACATGATTTTAGACGTAAAAAATTCAAGAGAGCTCAAGAAAGATCTAGGAAGGATGTCGAGCGGGCCTTTGGAGCTCTTAAGAAACATTGGTACATACTGAAAAAAATCAACACTTTTTCCGGCGAGGAGAAACTTCAAGAAGTCATGTATGCATGTATCATATTGCATAATATGATTATTGAAGATTAAAGAAGAGCGATATTTGTGTGTGACGAGTATGAAACCATCCCCGACACACAACCAACAAAAATTGGTGGCGATGAGTACATGGATAGGAGAGCAGAGATACGGAGCACTGAAACATTTCACAATCTTCACATGGACTTGATGTAACACATTTACGTGATTTAACACATCAATCTCAATTTGGATCCCCCGGGTGACTCAGAAGATGAGTTCTCGGATGAAGACTTCATGTAGTATGTTTTAGTTATTTTATTTGTGATTTTTTTTAAAATTTTTTTGTGCTTTTCATTTTTTAAGTTATTTTTTATTTTAGTATGTATTTTTCTTATTTGAATTAATGAAATTTGGAGTTTTTATTTAAATTAAATTTTTTTATAAAAAAGTGTGGCACCACACCTAGTGTGTGACAAAGAAACCACACTTTTGTGGTAAGAATGACATGACATTGACGTGGCATGGCAAAACATGTGGTTTTTGTGACACCACTCCCTCCAGCCATAGAAATTGAATAAAACGACCAACATGCCCTCTTTTTGTTTTTTTCTAGCTTTTTTTATAATTTAATAACTTATAGGGACCAAATACTTAAATTAAAAAACATAACTGAATCCCGAATCACACCTCTCCCATCGTTCATCCTGCCTCTCCCAAGCTACCAAGCGCCAACTATTATTTGCATCCACCCAAGAGAATAGTTGGAACGACTCTGAGATCCCCGATAAAGTTCTTTAGCCAAGCCGATTCCTTAGATGCTTCACTCACCCCAATGTACTCTGAATCACAGGTGGAACCAGCCACCGTGTCTTGCTTGGAACTCTTCCAAGTAACCGCTCCTCCATTTAATAAGAATACCCAACCAGACTGCGAACAAAAGTTGTCTTGGTCTGTTTGAAAGTTGGCGTCACTGTAACCAGTCACTCTTAATGTATCACTGCCGCCAAGAACTAGGAACATGTCTTTCGTTCTTCGCATATACTTAAGAATATTCTTCACCGTAATCCAATGGGCTCTACCAGGATTTCCCTTAAATCAACTAACCATGCTCAAAGCATAAGACACATCAGAGCGAGTACATGCCATTGCATACATGATCGATCCTACAGTCGATGCATATGGGACTCGACTCATGTCAACTATCTCTTCATCAGTATATGGACTTTGAGTCTTACTCAACTTGATAGTACTATGAATGAGAAATTCCCCTTTCCTTGAATTCTCCATACTGAAACGCTTCAGTATTTTATCCAAATATGTACTCTGGCTAAGACCAATAAGACGATTCCTTCTATGCTGATGAATCCTTATTCTTAGAATATAAGACTCTTCCCTTATATCCTTCATATCGAAACACTTTCCAAGCCAAAAATTAACTTCTTGGAAAGTTGGAATGGTGTATCCTTTAAGGAGTATGTCATCAACATACAAGACTAGGAAAGTCACTATACTCCTATTAGCTTTGACATATACACATTACTCATCTTCACTTCTAGAGAATCCAAACTCTTTGACTTTCTCATTGAAGCAAAGATTCCAACTGTGAGAATCCAAACTCTTTGACTTTCTCATTGAAGCAAAGATTCCAACTGTGAGATGCTTGTTTCAATCCATAAATGGATTTTTGAAGCTTACACACCCTATTAGGAAACTTGACATGTACAAAACCCTCTGGCTGACTCATGTAGACGTCCTCAGATAGCTTTCCATTAAGGAAAGCATATAACATCCATCTACCAAATTTCATAATCATGAAATGCAGCTATAGCAAGCATAATCCTGATAGACTTTATCTTAGCTACTGGTGAAAAGGTCTCATCATAATCAATCCCTTGGGTTTGAAGCCCTTTGCAACCACCTTAGCTTTATAGGTGTGTACTTTCCCATCCATGTCAGTATTCTTCTTGAAGATCCATTTGCACCCGACTGTCTTTCGACCAGGTACATGATCAACCAAGTCCAACACTTGGTTATCATACATGGACTGGATCTCATTATCCATTGCCTCCTTCCATTTAGCAGCTTCAGGGTCTGCCATTGCTTCCATGTAGTTAGCAGGTTTATCCAAATTTACCAGTGTTCTATCACTAATAAACATATCTCCATCTAACGTAATATAGAAACCATAGAATGCAGGTGACTTGCTAACCCTACTAGAACGGTGAAGGGGTAATGGGTTGTCAACTGGCTCAACTGGAACTTCTTTCTCATATTGAGTGCTAGTGTTGTCTGAGGTTCCTTTATTAGATTACTCTTGAATTTATTCAAGATCAACATCACTCCCACCGTCCTCTTTGAATATGAGTTCTCTCTCGCGAAAGACTCCTCTTCGAGCTACGAAGACCACGTTCTCACTAGGTCTGTAGAACATGTATCCAAATGACTTATGTGGATAGCCAATGAAATAACACTTCTCGGCTCTGGGTTCAAGTTTTTCATGCATCTCTTGTATTATGAGTGCTTTACAACCCCATACCTTGATATGTGCGGGCGAAGGAGGCTTGCCTATCCATAGGGTTGTTCACTATTTGGATAAAACTGAATTATCCATTTTGAAAAATTGGATCAGACTATTTGGTTTGGATATTTGGATATTTGGATTGATTTTCAGCAAAACTGAATTATTATTTTGGATTTCAGATTGGTT